CATTTATAATATTAGTATACAGTTAACTAAGACTTTCAAGGCATGTCCCATTCTTTCTAGAGATCCTTCAAAGTTACGATCTAGATTATATCGAAGTGAAGGGTTCAGTCGATACTTCGATAGTTGCTGATTTGCTAACATGGTTATTGGCCTCTTCTATAATTAGGTTAGCACTTAATTAGAGATAAAACATTCTTGAGCTTTGAAAATCTTGTTTGATAGTATATAAGTAATATAATCTTTTTGTTTCCACTTTTCTTATTTTTTATTTGTATTGAGCTACTCTGTCACACTTAAAAATGTGTCTCAAATTAAAAAATATATAATATTTTGTGTTAAATAGACCATTTGTAGAGGAAGACTTTTGATATTATATAGATAGATATTAAATAACATCACGCTGCAACTAATAGGAGCTAAGGAACAATGAAATAACCTGAAAATATGTATGATTACTCTTTTTATTAAAAAAATCTTTATTTTAATTTAATTTAAAAACGCGATATATTAGTTAAATTTTTTTTGAAAATGATTTTAACTTCGGCATGATGTTTCGGATGCTTTGCAGCAGCCGTGGTCACTGGGAGACAGGGATATTTAAATGTGTACTAATCGCGTAAACTATAGATAGTGTTTAATATTAATCTTGCAAGCCACAAAACAACATTTGCCGGATCAGCTAATATTAGTATATACAATTATTATTAACGTGAGCCTTAAATGTGAATTGAAACCTACGGGTATACCCTCAGGAGTCGCGCAAAATCTGTTCACAGGTGAACCGAATAATTGATGTGCATTCGACAAGGCGCCAGCAGTTTGAGCTCTCATTTGCTTCACGCCCGTTCGAGCTGCAAAAAAAATTATAATCGTTAGCTGTTCCGAATATTCGTTAACTAACGTCCGTACCGCACTTCAATGTAGACGGAATTTAGAACTTCTATAGTTACATAAAACTAGCTGTGTCAGCGACTTCGTGTGTGTAGAATAGTTATTTTGGAAATCAAAGTTGGTTTTGCATACCTCCTCCTCATCTTAATAGATTTAGGCTACGACCTCGGTCGCGTTAGTATAGATATGCAGAACAATTTTTTTTTATGATAGTGGAGGACGGACAAGCATGGCGTGCTATTTTGGGTTTTGTTATTCGTAAATCCAAAGAAGGAAATGGAAAAGTTATTAAACTCCACGGCTTTTTCATCTGTGGTGGTACGTGACCCGGACGGAATTTCGATATTTCTAGCACCCATTTAATATCAAGATTTCCAGATGGTTCAGATAAATTATAAATTAAAACATGCTGGACCTGGTAGAGATCAAACCCACGAGACCACCTGACCCATCAAAATATAATAGTGAACTGCAAATCACGATCTGGCGTTAATTCAGTAGTTTTACTTTTCTCTAGTATCTTCCCCGTGCTGGAGAACATTTGGTGAACAGAGTCACGACGACCTCTTGGCTCGTTCCTTATCGATTTGTGCTTTTATAGCTCACCGTTAGCTGCTGTGCATCGGTTCATAAAGGCAGTGCTATACATGCCCTTCAGTCGATAACGATGTTCGCACGGGCGAATGACCGGTTTCCAGGTTCCATCTTTAGGAAGTAGTAAAATGACAATGACGATGTTACAAATTATTCAGTTCGCGTTGTAAAGAGTTCTATAGAATGAAAATATACATCGTAGGGACGCGGTCGCTATTTAGAACAGGAGCATGCATGCGCTTTCGATAACGGGTCAAGTCTGTGACATCGAATTTGTTTAATATTAAATATATTTCTAATTTATATAAATCCACTATTTAAATAAAACACTTTAATTGTTTAAAACGTGATATATATTAGTTAAACTCATTTGAAATTTATTTTTAACTTCGGCCCGACGTTTCGGATGCTTTGCAGCTGTGAGTTACGGAAGCAGTGATTTATTTAAATGACTGTATAAATCCATTATAACCCGTGAGAATAATAAGGTGTTTATACTTATAGACTTTATTTATTTGTAATGAGTACAATTTTGCTCGAGAATCGTAGATGCTCTAAAAATGGTGGCAATATAGAGACGTCGATGGCCAGAATTAGGGATAATCCCAGCAGATTTGAATGGAATCCGTCGGTTCGCGATGGCAGCGAATTATTTATGACGCTCCATGCTATTTGCACCTTATCGGGGCACATTACGGAAAATTCACTGGGATTCGGGGCGTAAATATTGCTTATTGGACCAGGGAATTGGAATACATGGATAATAAAGATTCCTATAGTGGCCACTTATATCCTGTGGTTCGTGGTTCATTAGTCAATGTGCTAAGTGGGTTTAATTAGTTTGGGTTATTCAAAAGACTAAGCCCAAGTGTGTATCTTGAATTATGTCCCTACCGAGATTTTATAACTGTCAGATATTGCAAATTTTCTGTCATGTTTATATTGAAAATGTAAATGTTTAGAAAGTTTTCCAACGTTGAAACCATTTCTTAAGCTGCAAAGCATAACACAGTGAGAGCAGCAGCACGGACGCTGTCAATACTGGTTCAAATCCCACATATATCTAAACTTTTATCAATACATTTTTAATTTTCGAAGTAATAATTTCATACCGCTACGCGTTGCGTCGCCAGTCTACCCTCCTAGCCTAGATCTAAAAAGTTAGCTCCAAATGTAAGTTATCATTTCTATTGTTTATGTTCGACATAAATGTCACTCTTATCTAATGCCCGTAATATCAGTATGGCTCTATTTAATGGTACCACATATTATGTAACCTCCTCGATAAGGCCTACCGAGTTGCCAGTATTAAAATTTGAGCGGCTTAGACTACATAAATCATGAGCACGCTCGACCAAGTGGAAAAATCCCACTTGGCATCGCTTATCCATGACCCTATCTTCGGCGAAGGGAATCTTAGTCAAATAAATCCGCGAGCGGGCAAAGTTGGCGCCATGAATAATGGAGTTGCACCTGAGATACGACACATTAAAACCTCGTTCAGACGCTTTATGGCATTCAAGAGGAGACGATTGTGCACGGCTCATCGTTTTCGAGATGTTTAAAAGGCTGTTTAAGTATTTCTATGTGTTATTGATTTCAAAGTCTTGGCGGATCTAATGAAAGTGGTAGATCGAAATTCTGACTGGGTTACGGAGCACCAACATATGAAAAAAAGTCTGAATCGTGTTTCCTCTTCGGTCTGTGCTTTTCCAAATATCGAAAGCCATAATAGGTCGAACCCCATGCTTGTCTGTCCTCCTTTATGATACAGTGTTTTTGTTTTTAATTGTTTTAATGTAATAATTTTCTACTAGTTCTACTTCAAATGTCAAGCGTGGGGCACTGAAAATCGGGGTTGTGCCTACTTCCATGTACAACAAAATCTGAGTGGAGTCCCTCCACATGCATCTATTATTATTTATGTCATTGCATTTTATTAAATGATTTGATTTGATACAAAACGTAAGACAGGGCTAGCGAAGTTATGTTTTATTCAAATCTACTACTAGGCCGAGGTGAAGTTCGCTGACGCGAAATCTTGCACGAGCTTCAAACGCGATAAAATCCCCGAAAACTTTCGGATTGCAACTTCAGCCAGGTTATTATCTCCTGAATTATTCATCCGCCTTCCTGCAGTTTGTCATCTATGCACTTGTTTGATGTTAGGAGAGTTCGAAGTCGGTTTCTGCGTTAGTAATTCAAAGCACAATATTGTTTTATTAAGTTGATATATGTTCCTGTGATGTGTATATATATAGCTGTGTCATCGAGAATTTTGGGCATCCAAATTTGTTTTTGTAAACCTCCACTTGTATTATAGAATTATACAACTAGACAAACACGAATGCCACATACTGCGGTACTCCTCTCATTACAATATACTCGTATATGCCGTCTGCCTATACACCTGATTAATCCTCAATTCGACGTATACCTGACACCAATGTGATCGATGTTCCCTCAGGCTTCTCGCAAAGCCATTTGTCATAATTTGATGATGTCGTTACTGTACAGGCATTAGTCTCATATCGGATGCGTATCGATCGTTGATAAACGCGGCGGGCACAAACGGTTCAATTGACTCTTTGATTATTCGCCGCGCTGAAGAATTATTGGATTCGTCCAGTCTATTTCGCAGGGAATAGAATATGCAGCTGGATCATTTATTTTGTTATGCAATACTAAAAAAAAGCGGTGCTTGGCTGTTTGTTTAAATCATTGTAATTTCAAAATTATTTGAGATTAGGAAAATTTAACTCGAACTCTTTCACAATAAAAAAAACCCCACACGGTTATCCAGTTGGTACAGCGAAAACTCGTTATGCTGTACGTAGAAGGTGCGAATTCCGCCTTGTTTTGTCTATAATCAAGATTTTAGTCACGTACCTACTAAAATTATAGTATATACTGTCTATAGTTTACGTGAGTAGTACACATTTAAATAAAACACTTTAACGGTTTAAAACGCGATATATTAGTTAAACTTGCTAAAAGTTAAACTTGTTAAAAGCCGTGGTCTCCCCGTGACCACGGCTGCTGCAAAGCATCCGAAACGTCGGGCCGAAGTTAAAAATCATTTCCAAATAAGTTTAACTAATATATCGCGTTTTAAACCGTTAAAGTGTTTTATTTAAATTATAGTTTATGTTTTTAAAGGAATTTAACATAGAAATATTTAAATAAAGAAGGAAAACATTAGGCGACTCGTAAACCACATGTGTTTTTAATAGGGCCAAAGGTACTAGCTCTGTATGGTTTCTTTAAATTTAATTTTGGTGAAAGGTTTTAATGAAGAAGGAAGCTTCAACTATAAGTTAGGCTACCGCTTTACGGGTATATAAGTTTGTTTCAGACAGCATAACTTAATTATCTTGTAAGCAATACTTCCTTTTCACAAATCAACTACATATACAAAAAAGTTAACACAAATAATGTTTTTGAAATATTTGTGAAGCTTGTTAATTAATTCTATATTTGTAAATTTAAAAAAAAGTATTAATCATTTGTTCCAGATTCTACAAATGTAGTTTTCACAATCATAAGCCAATCGGAGCCGTACCATGCCAGTGTGGCGACCCGCCTGAAGATGGACATTGAAAATCAAGTCTATGAATTGGAGGGGGTAAGTTACAGTAAATATAACTTTCAAATCATTGAAATAATACATGTTAACGGTTCAAGACTCGAAATAAGTTGGTTAAACATTGGATAAACATTTAACTTATATATTTCGCTCTCGCATAATCTGCAGACAGTATTCCTCGAATTACAATTTATACTAATATTATAAATGCGAAAGTAACTCTGTCTATCTGTCTGGCTGGCCAAAACTGCTGAATTGATTTAAATGAAATTTGCTACACAGATATTTTAGAGCCTGAGAAAGAACATAGGCTATTTTTTAATGCCAAAAAAGGGTTGAAATAGGAGATGAAAGTTTTCATGGAATTCGTGGTATTTGAAGCTAGAACAATGAAACTTTTTTCTTTGGCTTTTTGGGAATGGGAGTGGAAGTTGTTAGAGTGGGAGTGGGGTGAGAGAGTGAGAGTGGGAGTTAGAGTAGGAGTGATGTAAGGTGAGAGTGTTGCTGCAAAGGAGCCTACCATAATGCAGAGATAATGCCTAAATAGTGAAAATTGTATCCCAAGTCATTATTCCACGCGGACTAAGTCGAGGGCACAGCTAGTATCAAAAATAGTAAAGACACCGTTTATTGTGATTTGAAATGTATACCTACTAATCTCGATCTTCCAAAATCTTGAAACAATATCGCGAAGTGTGATTAGAGTGCTCTTAAAAGTACGATATAACCATAGTATTATTTGAATAAAAAAAATTACGGCACGGGCGGGACTAGAAACGGCATTCAGAGCTACTGTGTCCGTTGTGAATGTTGGTTCAAGTCACGCTCGTGTCGTAAATTTTTTCATTGTATATATTGATTTATATAAATTATGAAGAAAAATTGGTGTTAACAGTAAAAAAAAATCTTTTAATTTTTTTCTAGTTATTTCTATAAAAATAGACATTCATAATATACATTTATTTAGCGAGAACCAAGAGTCCATAAAACACATGAAGACTTCTCAGTGCCGGGTGCTTGGACTATCCTACCTCTTCTCCGTCCTCTCCTCAACAAATACAAGGACAGTGATGTCCGATGGATATTATTCGTCGAACCGCACACAGCTGTACGATGTGCTAAATTGTTTGAAGCTCTTTCGGTAGCTGATAAGCAAAAGGTATGTTAGCTTTGGGATTGAGCTTGGCAACGAAATTAGTCTGTTTACAAATTGACTTGAATAGACATTTACTAGTTTAAAATTATTTATAATATGACTTGAATGTTGCTGTCATACCGGCCATATAGTACAACGAGCAGTGCGAGAGGTCTGGGGTTCGAATCCTGGGGAAACAATGGATGATTTATTGCATGTACAAACTTGCATAAAAACAAAACGATCAGTGAAACTCAGAAATATGTTCGCCCCATGCTCTAAAAGGGGAAAGGGACTTCACGTTTTTTATATCGCCTTCGTGGTTCAATAGTTAAACGTAATTCGTAACATTGAGTAAGAGATTCTGGGTTCGAATCCGAGGAAAATAATAAATTATTTTGAATGGGGTGAGCACAGAAGTCAGAGCATCAACTACATGCTTATAGATAGGTGTCTCACGTAACTACGAACTGTGAAACGGGCATGTGATCTTCCCATGCTTAATAGTCTCGTCGAAACGAATAGGGGGGAAAATTTCCTTTGGCAACTTTAATGTACTTTTACATGTGTAAGAAGAATACAATGTGAATACATATTTGTAAGAATACAAAGTAATAGGAAAAATGTATATACATTTCTTAAAAGATGTACTTTCTATACCTAAATATGGTTATATTATTAGGAAACAATGTGGGTGGGATATCCGCTAAGCGATGACGAGCCCACGATTATCCACCACTTCACACACTTCGAGGAACTAGAAGATGACGGAGGCTTCGTCTATCCCAACTTTGCGAGCGGTTTTGCTATGAGACTGGTGTTGATTGAAAGGTTTGAAACCAACTTTTAACTTTAACAATGAAAAAATTAAGAGGACTTGTGTCTTTGCATTGCGTTCATTATATCTATAAAAAGTTTGTAACTAAAACTAGGGAAGCTATATTAATAAGTTAATGATGTGTTTTGTGTTAATAAACAAGATGCTTTATCGACCTATTTTGGCTTTGCATATTCGAAAATCCATTGAAATGCAATTACACTTAACAGCTTCTATGGATGGTGGTTCTTGACGCGGACGGAATGTTGACATTCCTACCACTCATTTAATATCCAGATGTCCAGACGAAGTCCAATATATTTCAGAAAATTATTAATTGATTAAAACAATTTTGGACCCGGTGGCGATCGAACCCCGACCCGTTACATTTTCAATATAAAAAGATTTAATTTACAACTAGAAAATATATTTTTGTTTTAACAATTGTATGCGGGTGTTATATAGATTATTTTAACAGGGTTGTCGATAAAATCGAAAGTGGCAGTGCCCAGCTAGAAGCGGACTTCTCCATAGACCCAGCATTCGAGCTCGCCAGGTTGATATACGGGAAGGGAGACAACCCAGGACCACTTCTTACCCCAAATCTGAGCTTTTGCGTCGTTTCTACAGATAATTGTGCTACTTATCCAAGGCAGTTCGATTCATGTGTGAGTACTCTTTACATATGTATAATTTTTATTTATAATGTACCAGCTGATCCTGCAAAGAAAAATCGTGCTTTTAAAGTTTCATTTCAATGTGTAACAATAAATACTTAATAACCTTAATTAACACACACAACAATTTCTCTAGGTCCTAAGTTTTATTCACACTCGCTGACATCGCTTCTAGAAGTTTTACGAGAAATATATGCCACAGTGTTCGGCAGGGTAGTGTTCCCGAGGAGTCGGTGTACTTCGCTGTGAAGACCTGGAGCGGGTTCCATTCCACTCGCCCCCGTGTTCTCAAGAAAACTTGGGGAAAACATGTCACCAATCTGCATTTCTTCAGCGATCAAGAAGGTAAGCATACAGCATATAATCTACAAACTAGCTTTAACGTTTCCATTTTCAACGATTAAAACCATAATTGCGTTATAACTGTAATATTACTTGTAATATTAGTTTATGTTAAATATCTACAACAATTATAATTTGACTGCTGTATAGTATATTAGACTGGATTTAATAATTTATTTTTTCCTAGACCCAACGCTACCGGCCACTAATCTAGGCATTCCAAATACAAAAACCGGACACTGTGCAAAAACGGTCGCCATTTTGAAGGAAGTCGTGCGAAGAGTACAGAAGATGCCGCAAATAAGATGGATATTTTTGGTTGATGATGACACCATTTTGGGGTAATTACCATAGACTAAACTTTTATACCTGACGACCTAATTTTTTTTTAATATGAATTTAATTGTGGTTCACCGTTTAGTGTTCAGAGACTTTGCGAAGTCCTAAGCTGTTATCGGGGTGGTGGTGACGTCACTGTGCTTGGAGAACGCTATGGGTATGGTTACGGCAAGAAAGACACTGCTAACAAAGGTATCTAAATGTAAATCAGTTACAAATAAAAAAATAATATTCAACAGCTTTTGAGTTAAGATTGTTTGTAAGATGCTCCACAAAAATGCACACTGACCAAGTCCATCCAATAAAGTGAGTTTTTCCAAATTTCCTTACACACTAACAACAAGGATGCAAAACCTAAAATGGGTCACATAAGCTTTTAACAAGTGAAGGAGCATTTGTTATTTGTATTTATTTAAATGTTTTCAACCAAACATCTTATTGTAAAGGCTACGATTATATAACGGGCGGAGGGGGCACAGCTCTAAGCGTCGGCGCAGCTAAATTGCTCGCACAGTGCGCTTGCGCATCCCTCGCAGCGCCGGACGACATGACTCTGGGGGCGTGCGCTATGCATAGACTGCATATGTCATTAACTCATTCGCCGCTATTTCATCAGGTATATGAATTGTGTAATTGTTCTATTACACACTCTCTTCCCTCTCTTTCTGTCTAAAATTAAATATATGTATGTTAGGCTCGACCACAAGACTACGCGCGAGAGGTGCTAGCCCGGGACCGCCCGGTGTCCTTCCACCGACATTCCTCTCCAGATCCCCTCAAGGTCTACGCTACTTGGTTCCAGCATGATGACCTCGCGCTGAAACAAAGGAGAAAGGATGAACTATAGTTACTATGTGATTTTATAAGAACACATACTACTGTTAATAAATGAAATTAAGTGTGTCAATCGACTCTACATTGTAACTGTTTAAATGTCTGTCTTTTTTGCTGGTATCCGAATTTAAGACGCTGAACTTTATCCACAGGTAGAAGCAGTAAAAATCTCATGCAATTTTTTTATGCCATAAAACTTGACGGCTTTTTCATCTGTGGAGGGTGGTTTGTGAGCTGGACGGAATTTCTATTTTCCTACCACTGACTTAATATGCAACATATTTTAGAAAATTTGTGCTTGTGTCTCCCTCTATCACAAAACAAAAAAGAAGATTTATCAAAATGTACCGAACATAGACGACGAAGTTTTTCCCGAACAAAAATAAACGTACTGATTGAATAAAGAGCTCTTTTTTTGTAGTCGGTTAAAAATATAGGTTTTTTTTTTAATGGCTCACGCTTCGTTTTATCAAAACACTAGAGCTATGGCATTGTTTATATTTTTAGTGTAATCCGTATTCCGTTAATTGTAAGTACCACTGCGGGGCACGGCTAGTTTAAAATGCGCGTGATTGCTTGTTTGGAAGTGCGGCGTGTAACGTCCGATGTCGGGTTGGCAATTAGCCAAGCGTATGTCATCTGCATCCTAGTGGTTTCCCGTGTAGTACTTGATAGCAGGGCATTCGCTTCAGCGTCTATTTTAGACTCGCTTTTTCCCAGATACAAAAGTACTGTCGAACTATTTTTGTTTGTAAATTGTCCCGCTTCAACGTGGCCACTAATTATTGAACGATTTACGAAACAAAACACACCTAAACGCTGTTGGTTCATGATTTTTATTGTTATGAAATAAAAAATATTAAAAATTCCATAGAATTGTGACCGAGTTTGTTTATAAATATATATCGTAAACGCGATATAAGGGTCGATCGAAGTGGGGTAACTTATGTAGTAAAGAAAATAACACAATATTATTGCTTGCGAATATTTATCTACAGCCTGAAGTTTAAGATGCTTTGCAGCAGCCGCAACTACGGAGGCTCGTTCCATTTATTAAATATAACTTAATTGATATATGACACGTTTTAAACTGATAAAAGCTTTTTTATTTTCGTTTGTATTATGGATATAAAATGGGTAGTACGAACATGGAGATTCCGACTGTCCAACGACAAAATAAGTCGATAACGCATTTTTTTTTGAAATCAAGGGAATCCACTGCTCTATCATCAAAAGACACTGTAGTACTGTACTGTAGAAACGCAATAAAAGTTTGTTTATAAAGTTTTTGTGATAAAGAATAGGTTATATGTTATTATGGTTTTAAGTAAAATTAATTTAAGTATTAAACTTAGGCTATTCAATGCGCTAGCAACTATTGTAGTTAATAATTAATTGTTAATAAGAACTGTTTATGTATTAAATGACAGTATTGTATGTACATATCAGTTGTCTATTAAAAAATTATCTATTTTTATAAGACGTTGTTTAATTTTTCTCGCTACCACTTAGCCATTCCTATAAACCATTTTTAGCTGTGGAAACTATGATACCTCCTTTGTAATAATAACAGTTAAGTAGAAGGGGTTTGATTTTCGCGAAAAAAATAAATCATTGTATAAGAGTAGGACACACATGAATAGTACATCATCAATAGTTTGCATGTAAATAAACATCTATGAATTTAAAAATCGAAAATAAATTGAAAAAATTGTTGACTCGGGCAGGACTTGAACCGGCATCGACAGCGTTCCGTGCTGTTGCTCTACCAATTGAGCTACCGAGTCCTACACCTCATCGTCGTATTTTTTATATAGGACAGTTAAATATATCCGCTCCAGAAAAGGGGGCAGGAGTAAACATTTTTTTTATATGAAATGTAATTAAAAATAGGTTATCTTTGCCTATAATATAAAGCTAATCTATTTGTTTATCTGTATAGGCATCAAGAAATACTAAGTATGCAAAAACCATGTATCAATCCTTCTTAGAATTAATGACGATAAAAGCTCAACTGATTTTCGTAAGGCGCTTTAGTTCGCTGATATTTTTAGTATCTTTAAATAACATACTTAACAGTTTTAAGCAAAATATATTAGTTAACTTATCTTTTAACTACGGTCCGACGTTTCAAATGCTTAGGAGCAGTCGTCACAGTATGTGGCAATGAAACAGGTGGCGCTAGCGTAGCATATTCGACTTTGACATTAGGGACACCCTCCACCTTCAGCCACGCATGACCACGCCCGCTGTAAAGCAAGAACGGAAAAATATTCTGAAAATACGACAGATAGATAGATTCTTAGTGTTATACTTAAATTATACAAGAACTTAATTCTCCCTTACACCATAAATGGATAGACAATAGATACAATTCTGTACAAGAAACTAATCTATTATTATTCGTCTAGCCTAAGTTTAGTTAAACTATTCCGAACAAGGACAAAGCATCCCTAAGTACGTTGAAAGGGGATGACTCTTCCATCTTACTGTTCGAATTCAATGCTTCCATTAACTGAGACGGGCTGACTAATGATGCCTGGGATTTTAATCAAATGAGAGTTGGGTAAGACAAAATAATACAATTTACAGATGTTTACTTAAGAATTTTTTTTATCTATAATTTCGACACGTTAAAAATTAACTAGGTGACAAATGAGTATTGTACGTAGTTTATTTATACATTTATTGTTCGAAAGTACATATTTAAATAAAACACATTTTAACGGTTTAAAACGCGAAATGTATTAGTTAAATACTTTCAAAATTTAATTTAACTACGGCCCGACGTTCGGATTCCTTCCAGTGCCGTGGTCACGAAGGGGACGATTAATTGTACATAGTAAATTAATACAAATGGCGTTTTACACGACCAAATTAAATAAGACACACGGACATAGTATATGTATGTACTTTGGCTTAATACCAAATAAATGAAGTGGAATTTATTGGATACCTAATTCTGTGAAAGGTCGTGATCGTGGAGTCGAATGTCATCCATGTTTTTTATTTTTTATTTATGTAAACTCGATGTTTAGGCTTTTGGATAAAAAATATTTAAATTTCGAAGCCACCGTATTCCTATACGTCAATAGGAATAATAAATTGCCGCGAAACTTTGATGACGTCACATAACCGATATTTCAGAAGTTGCAAACTTGGCTCCGAAGGGTCCGCTATTAATCATGCGACACGCGACTGAGGTAAGTACGTACTAACTTGTATTTTTCACTTACAACTTTGCCCCTTCCGCGATCACTCAAGCTAAGTCGTTCTGGGACAGGTTTATATCGCGGATTTGTTCTTAGAAAGTTATTTTTTAAGGTTCCATTGCATGGGGTAAAAATGAGAGCCAATTTGTATTACTTTACAGTCTTCAAATTGATCTCAAGAACGACGATAGTTAAATGAGAAAAAAATGATGATATTGATTATAGTTGTGCCCCTTTTTGTTTAATTTGAATCAATAATAACAGGTAGGCACTTTAATAGATAAAAAATGGTTTCAATATACAATTTGTTTAATTAGTCAATGGTACAAAAATCATGTAGAAAAAAGTATTTTGTACCCAAAACCTTTGTTTTATTAACTTGAAATATACAAGAAATTCACCACAGAGTAGACCAGCTTATGACTACTTGAGGAAAATTAAAGAAAAAAATATTCCCCGATTTTTTTTCAATTCCAACGATATATTTTTTTTTAATTAACACCAGTGATGGTATTTGTTAGTGTTTTGAGATCAAAGTTTTTCAAATACTTCGTTATTTACAGCAACCTAAGTAACCCTCCTATGTGTTAAAATCCTTAAGATGTCCACAAAATATCAAAGTTAATGTTTTCCTTAAAATTCTGCATGATTACAACTTTAACGTGGGAAGTACTTTATAAAGTTTATGCAGCCATCAAGATTCTAAAATAGTACTTCAGAAAAATTACGCCACAAACAAATGCCAACATTTTCAAAACAAAAATGAACATTATTAATATCGCTGACAATCATTTATACTATGTGCTGAAAACGTAAGATTTTTGCAAGTTGTGCGTAATCAAAAAAGATTACAAATAATTTCACATTCATTTTAATGTTTTAAACAAAACGAGTACTACAATAAAATGTTCGAATTGTATAGTGTAGGGTAATTGTTTAAAAATCGAAAATAATTGAAAAAATTTTCGACTCGGGTCAGGACTTGAACCGGTATCGTCAGCGTTCCGTTTCCTGTTGCTCTACTAATCGAGCTACCGAGTCCAACACCTCATCGTCGAGTTTTTTCAACTTATTTACTGAATGTTTTAAATTATATAGTGTCTTCATGTGCAATAACATGTAAAAAATAATAAAATTTTCAAATAATTAAGTTTGTAATCTTAAGTAAATTATTAAATAAATAATTCACATAAAACTACTAAGTTTTTTAGTATGTCAGTGTAAAATTTCTACTCTAATTTATCACTTTTAAAATACAGACCTTACGACATGGTAATAAGATTTATTTCTATAAGGCCATTTTTGTGTGACTTGGCAATACTTTGACACTTCGATTAATCAAATTGTCGCTTTCCTGCATACGTATCGACAAGGATGTAATTTCTTTTCACTTCTTTTAACTAAAACGAAAATTTCCGCTATACCAATAAGATTTTTTCCATTATCTACAGACGGGACAAGATGTAGGTCGCTTGCAATTATTCAGTGTTGCCATTACAATGCCATTAAAACGGCAAGATGGCGTCGAATAATCACTCGGACAGATAATTAAAGCATTCCTCGTTGTCAGTCCACAGATTAAACAATAAGTGTTGGATTAACTGAAATTGGACAAAATCAATTTTGTCTTATTCTTAATTTTTGTAACTTAATCTTTGAAAAGTGACCTGGGTAGGTTGTTATATCGAAAAAAAAAAAGAATAATATAGAATCAAAACGTATAATAATAATTGTGAGAGTAAGAAAGTCATATACAACTTTCTTACTCTTTCTCCCATTGCAGTTACCAATTGGCTTTAAG